TGGTTTGCACATTTTCGACAACGAAGGCTTACTTTGATTGATTTTCTTGAGTTTTTCCTATTTTCTCGCTTTAGGTTATCACTTTTCACTGCAATAAATTCGTTGAAGCGATTGTTATGATAACAATCAGTCGTGTAATCTGAAAATAACAAATATTTTATATATATGTATGCTATATACTATACATAGTATAACACTATATACAAACATTCGCAGCCAGTGTTATTCTTCCTTGCCACTGAAAGTCGTCATTATATATGTAACCTGTTTTATGATAATGAAGATTGAAATAAGAACCTTAAAACTGCGTAGATGAGCCTAGGAAACCAGATGCTTTTAAGAGGCCTGTACTTCTAATCTCAAGCGACTCTCTGGCGAAGAGATCTCATCTTCGCAGCTAATGAAACAATTGGTCAGTGATATTAGGAGAACAAGTGGAAGATTTTAGTAGAAATATTCTATGTAAAATTCGAAGTATACTTTATCAGTTTTGCAGATTTTGAACAATTATTAAATCGCTTTATCTGCAAAATGGGCTTGTATTATGGTTGTGTCTATTTTAAATTTTCTAAATGGCAAAATTTTTTAGTTTCATTGCTTGTTTTCGAATTTTAAGACAATGCATTGTTGTCTTCTTTTTTTATCCCTTGTCTTCCAGTATGAAAATGAGGTAAAAATAAAAATAAAAATTGGTTCGCACTGTTCTGCAACTCGTAAGAGTTATGAAGAGTTAAGAGTTAAGAGTTAAGAGTTATGAGCCGATAAGCAGTTGAATTCCAGCAAATCAGATTAGTAAGGAAAATATTTTGGTCCTCTTCCAGATTCTTCAATTACGAAAAGGATGTTGTTATTTCCATTAAAAGCTTTATAAATAATAAATTTTTAAGAAAAACTTCTCGTATCACTCACTTACTTCTACTTCTATTTTTACATTTAACATTTTTAAACAATTTTTGAAAGAGATAGAAATTGCTCTTTGATGTTGCCGGAAAATTATCATTTAAATGGTGAAAATATATCTGGCAATCTAAATATTTATGAATTATCCTCCTACCTTCACCATCTTCTTCTGTTCCTGATAAGGGCTTTTCATTTCTGTTTCAGTTAGCTTCATCGGTTATTAGGAATTCCTTCGCCACAGTGGATATAACTTGGATATAAAAATATAAGTGGGTCCACTCTTAGATTTTTAATAACAAATTCTATCCAGAAATCGATAACTCTTTGCCGAAATAACATACCTTGTCGCAGCTCGATCATTTTATCCTCTGCCTTCATATTCTTCTTTTTTTTAGTATGACTGAAATATTTTTTTAAACCATTGTGCATCCTTTAAGACATTTTCAAAGATGACCTCAGTTTCAGAATTTTTACGAATTTTTTACGAAATTTTTTTGAAAACTTACGATAATTTGGTTTCTACTTCAATATATATTTAAGTAAAAAGTGAAAATTAGCGTGTCACCGAGGATTCATCTATACTTCTATCACCAAATGACTCCCCAGTGAAGCAAGTGGTGCCAACCAAAAGAGAAAATTAGAAAAGTAAAAAGATTTTCGGATTAATTTGAAAATATGAAAGTGTGCTAGTAAAATGTGTATTCGGTTCTCTTTTCTTTCTCATTCCCTTTATTTTCTGCTTAGTTGTTGCGTCCAATCCAATACATAGAAAATGTATTTGAGTGTAAGATACTTAAACATTTAACAATGAGATAGCTTTTTGCATACTTTATTTAGCTGATTATATAATAATAAGAAAGCATTTCGTGATTCGTTTTAAATCCTCATATTTTAGCAAATAAATAAATATGATTAAAAGAAATGAACTGAAATTAAACGGGTTCTCTGCTTGCCTTTTACATTCTGTCACAGTTCTGAGGTGAATATTGATATACCTTGATCAAAATATCTTAATATAGGCGGATCCACAGGTTTCTGGTGAAGTATGAATAATTTGCGTCCATCTGCTGATAGAAGTTTTATTAAAATATCTCTTTTCACCATTATTCAGATTGACTGTATGTATCTCATAGGAAGAGTTTTATTCCAACCTTAATTTTGTTTTCAGCACGTAATATTCAGGCAGTGTTGTAAAAATCAAACCTTGTTTTGAAATAAGTAAATAATATCAATAGTGCAAAAAAATAAGTAATTCTAACAGTAATTTATATTATGGATAAAAAAACTGAAATCCGAGTACTGCTGAAGGATCAGCCTGTGCTATCCTCAAATGTTATTTATGGCGGAAAAATTAGGAATCAGTGGAGCCAACCAAGCCAGAAATGTTTAGAAAACAATGGATACCAGTTAACCATCGTTTTTATCAATTAAAGCAATTGTTTCACTTTTTTTGTGGATTATTAAAAGCCAAATTGTTTCTTTATAATTAAATTTTTTGCTGCATCGTTGAATAAGTTGAATAATATGTTTTTCAAAACAAAATCGTAAATCGTAAAGTACGTAAAGTAGTAAGTATGTATAAAAATAGTTGGTACTCCTTATTTCTTATTTAGCTTCGTTCCAGTGTTATTGGCATATGGTTGGAAATTTTTCCTCCCTATTTTACTGGCATCACCTGACATCTTAACAACAGGCTTACTCTCGTCGGATAAACAATCTATAATGCTTGACGCGAATGGGAGCAAACATATCACCCGACCACCCGTATCCTCCTATTTTATAATGCGGTAGCCTAATTTTTTTTACTATAAATTTGTTCGAAAAATTCCTTTATTTCTGACTAAACATTCTAATGATAGAATTAAATTGATTTCTGGATTTGCTCCCTTTGAAATAATTTTATTGTAAGTTAGGTCGCTATTCTCTTTTAATAGCTTTAGTAATGATTTTAGGATATATCTCTCTATAACGGAATATGAATGGCATTATTATTCGATCAGAAACGACATAATTCGTCGATTTAAATTATTTATTTATTAGTGAGGATTGGATTATGGCGAAATGATTTCCCCCATTGTATTGTTTCGAGGGCTTACTTGCCTGCTTGCTGCTCATCGCTCATCGATGAGTTAGTCGGCCGAATTTGCTAAATCTATTTGTCTATCTACTACTTAGTAAAAATAAAATTTAATGCTAGAAGAGCACAACACAATACATCACCACCATATATTTATATTAGTCTTTATCGAATGGTTCTCTTCATCGAATACATAAAACACTGGTTTTAGCAGTGGAAATAATGCGTATGCTGCGACGATGACGATGGAGATAGGCAAGCAGACAGGGCGAGCGCTCGGCTATAGCAGTTTGCAATAACAAAATGAGGAAAGAAATCGTTTCGAAAATGAAGTAGAATACTGGCTCGACTCACTTTTATCCTCTCTTCTTCCTATAAGATTGGCCCTTTCCAACGCATAGTTGTTCAGTTGTCCGGAAAAATACCAAAATTGAACATTTTATAAATTTTTCGATAAATTTCGAAAAAAGAACATTGAATATTGTAGTAAAATGTAGAAATTTCGTAGAAATGAAAGTGCAAATTTTCGTATTTTTATCGAAACTTATAATATTTTATAATGATATTTGATGTAATTTATAATTTGAATAATACGCAGGTCTATCGTAATTTCGTTTATCACTCTATCATTGCATTGAATAAAATACAATTAAATTTCTGTCACAGAAAGTGTTTCTTTGTATTTAACATGGGCAAAATAGCCGAGTGCTTGTTGCTTAGATCATCATTTGAGAAAAAAGCTGCCAGTAAAAAGTAAGTAAATATGATACTAGTGATCAGAGATCATCGCTATCGCCCCTTAGCAAAAATTTCTCATCGCATTTTAAAGGAAATACATCACAGGTTCCATTCCTTTTGAAAAAATTTGAAACTAAAAAAATTGCACTTCCAATTCATGGTGCAACTAAAAGCAGAGATGTCCTTGCTTAAATGTGTGGAAATTCGGAACCTGTGATGCATTTCCTTCTAGTGGGAGTAAGCCTGTCCTTGAGAAATCATGGTGGTACCGGAGATCCCATGAATTATTTCTGTGTCTCTTACCCTAATATTCAGCGAAGCGAACCTAATAATGAGTGGAAACCACTTTCTTACTTACTTGTGGTGCAAATCTATAACTTAGAATGCATAAGCTTCAACTAGTTAAGGTGAAGGATTTCAAATTGAACTGAAAAAGTAATTTGTAATATGCAATGTGATTCATTCAAATCAACAGTGAAATAAGCCGACTTAACAGACCTTGAAGAATACAAAATCGGTTATCGAATTAAATGCAATATTTTCATAATTAACTAGAACGCATTCAGCCTATCACTCATTCACTATCTTCTCGTAAATTAACTGAGATCCATTTAAACTTAATGCAAATCCATTAGGGATTTCTGGGATTTCTGGATGCGATCTAGTTAATTATGAAAATATTGCTGACGACCCGGGGCAGAATAGCCGAATGGAAAGTGACTCAGATCTGGTGTTGAGAGAAGTAAACCTCCATTAAAAATCCATGCGATGCTGCAGCCAATCGAGCTTTTTCAGCCTACTTACAGCCAGTGAAGCGAAGTTAACCAGAAGTGCTAACCATTAAATTACTTATCGCTATTTTTAAAAAATTTAAAAAAATTTTTCACTACTTTTATACGTTGATTGAGAGAAAAATCAAGAAACAATTTCTTTATGCAGCAAATTCCGATTAAAATTTATTACTAAATGCACATATGGCTTATGCTGCAGTAGGTCCGCGGTGGTGCTCGTCAGTTAGGAGCAACGCATCTCGCTCTTTCTCTCCTTTTATTATAATGTGAGTGAGTGAGTGAGAGTCTTCGCCGTTGTTGAGATTATAAAAATGGCAATGGCATAAAATGCTCGGTCTATGCGTTATTATTAAAGTTAAAGAAAAAAATAACAGAAACTAGAAGGCAACAATAGAAATTGAAGAGAACTGAAGGTTGCTTGCTTTATTGGATGGATGTTATTTGATATTTATTCAAACAAATGTATAAGAGAGACGACGAGAAATTATGGATAAATGGCTGGATTGCTTGGATTGATTAGATGGATGGATGAATGGATGGATGGATGGATGGATGGATGGATGGATGGATGGATGGATGGATGGATGGATGGATGGGATCCACAAAAGTCGCGTCCTCCTCGTTCGTTATTCGCATTGTCCTCCAATCCGTCTTTATAATTAACACGAGCACTTTTACTCGTATCACCACCATCATCACTAATCTATTGCTGGAGTTAGTTCGTCTATTGAGGAGAGAAGGAGGAGGTACTGGTGGTGATGGTGACACACATTTCATGTTTCTATCAGAGTATAAACCACCCCGTCGTCGACACAAACACATACATACGCACACATAAAATGTATCGATTGTTATAGCAGAATCAGCCGGCATTTTCTGTGCCTGCCATACCATTCAGATTTTTCGTTTACCATTCCACCGGCACACTAATTTTCGCCTTTCTTCAGACGTTTTTATTCACGAAACGTATACGAACGAAAATGCTTTTTCTTCAGCTGAGCCTAGGAAAATATATGCATGAGTTGCTGAAGTTTTCAGATCGGTCGCACGAGTCAGTAGAAATGCAGGTGGACTGGCTGCGCGGCCAGTTCTTTTCAATAATAGGTTTATTGCTGTCGCAGGCCAAATCTCAATTCTAGGCAACGTTTGCTTGCCTATTCCGCCTCCAGATATATCATTCACCCGGTCGAATTTCGGCTTCGATTTAAGTATTATCGTTAGCTCGAAATCGAATTTATAATTGATTTGAAAATTGTCGAAATTTGCCATTTTTAGAAATAATTTAATAATTTAGCACAAAATCTTCCCAGTCATACACAGAATCACGTAGTCAAGTAAGCGTGTTTCATCTCTTTCCACACCTAAATTTCAAATTTTTTAAACTATATTGTTTAAATTATTATTTTGTTAAAAAGCGTTTCAAATTATAAAGCATCGTTTTGTTGCAAACAGAACCCCTCAGGGGATTATTTCATCATTCTAATGGCACGAACCATTAGTGGGTGGTAAGTTTGGCTCGAATAAGCATGACAATGAAACTTATATTATATTTCTGTTGCAAGATTACGGCGAGGTAGCGGATTACCAACGTCGAGGTTTGCAACTGGTAAATCAATCTGTCATTGAAAAGTCGAGCTGGTGCCGGCGATCTGTCCACACTTTTATTAAGTGATTGATCCCCTGGTAAAATTTCTAATCATGTAAAGCCAGTAGCAGCCGGTAGAACGACGAGCCTAACTGGAGGCGACGAGTGCTAACCTAACTTTTCTATACTTCTGCACTTCTTTTTAAATGCCTCCACTATATTCATTGTTCAGTTATTTGATTTACTCATTGTGCTATGCTATGCATTTGCGCTATTCGATATTCGGTGCTGTCCGATCCATTCCGTCTTCTCTCTTCACCATTCACCAAATTATTTAATAAATATATACATCTGACCTTTGCCATTCACTCATTCAGTAGGTATTCTATCGATATGTCGGCGAATATTGCATTTCCTCACAACCATCAACTATAATCTTTCCTTAAATCTTTTTTTTGTTCATTTCTTTGTTCCGTTTTTTCTTCGTTAATTTCTCTAGAAAAGCATTGGCGAGATGTGATTTCGCTAATTCGGCGATAGGTGATAATGGCGATGTGGCGACAGATTTAATGCAAATATATGTTTCGCTTGTTTGTGGGGGCACAATAGTCGAGTGGAATTGAGGTTATTAAGAGATGCTGAGGTGCAACGGCCGAAGTCGAACTCTGCTAAAGTCGATCTTCGTGTACTTTTATCGCCAAACGGCTCCCTTCTAAAAATATTAAGAGCCAGCGAAGCGAATCGCCACTGATGAGCTCTCTAATAATCATTTATGTAAGATGAATGGTGAATCCAACTGTCGGATGATCTTATCGCCACACTTTTAAAAATTTCTCTGGTTTTTCGATTTTAAAAAGATTTCTAGCAATTTTTTAATTTGTTAAAGTATATTGCGGTGAAAATTCGAATCTTTTTTGATGAGTTCAGCTTATCGTGAAGTGTATAAATAACGGAACCTAATGATCGTTCTAGAAGCATTCACCAGTTCTGATTGGGTTCGCTGCACTGGTTGCTGCTAAGCGAATGCTTCAGCGGCGAGTCACTTGGAGATAGAAGGATTTCGATTTTAATGACTCTCATCACGGCTATCGAAATTATGCTGGCTTCACTTTAATCTCGGCAACGAAAATACCATTCTGGCTCCTTAAATTTCCGTTTATTAGATTAAAATTCAGTTCCGTTTATTAGATCAGTTAATCAAATTTTTTAAAAGTTTAAATAATATTTTAAACACTGAACTTGAACATTTTTCTGCCCTTAGACACTTTTCTTTTACATTCCAACTTTCTTATTCCGTTATAAGATTTCTTTTTTTATTTTTATTATTTTATTTTCGAACTGGTTACTTTCATAAATTAGCCCTTAAATTTGTTGTTCGTAACAGCCAAGTTTGGCGGATATATTCGCGTTGTCTCTAAGTTCGTAAGCAAGCAAGCTGGTAGTTGAAATGCGAATCAATGAAAACTTGAAAATCTTATATTTTTTATTTTTATTTTTGGTGATTTGCAGAATTATTGCTAAAGCATATTGGAGCTAAATTTAAAATTGATTTCTTAATGTTAATGTTAGTCGAGTGAACAGTGATTTAAATTATCCCGTTGCGATGCAAAGGTTCAGTTCCTGCCTCCGATAGGAGTAAGTCTACCATTAGAAATTCAGGTGGGGTGGCGATCCACCGTATTTTTATCACGTGAGCTCCCTAGCAAAAATTTCTAGTCTGGTAGCTGAAGGAGCCAAGTCAGGAATGCGGAGCACAAGCCCAGTCTTTTTTCTTATTCAATTAGTTTAGTAGATGGATATTGGATTGGTTGAGGATGGTGAAATGATTGCTTCAATCAACGCCAAGTCATCACTGTCGTTTGACGGGAATAGGCCTTTCATTGAAATTAAAGTGGCTACGAACGAGTGGTGCTAATTTGGATCCGCCTGTATTTCTACCTCTAAGTATTCTCTGACTGGGAGGTCTCGTTCCAGTATCCAATTTTGCCAAACAGAAGTGGTGAATACTGATAGAAGAAGAAGTAAGAAATGGATATTGGTCAATTTTGAATGGAAAACAATTAGTTAGTCGTTGTCGTTGAAAAGTTATTGGTGAATTTTGTGATGACGTTGAATAAGAAAGAAATCAATGGCAATTGAATGGAAAGGTCAACGACAGGTAGATATTTGGAAAAAGTGGTCAGCAGTACTATGGTCAGTTTTATTGTCAGCTGTTGAACAACAAAGAGTACGTCTGCAAGAGCGATAAGATCCCGAAATTTTCTCGTCACCAACCGATATGTCATTTATACGTCGTCATTTACGCAGTGGTGAAGCTAATCACCTCATCAAGCGCAAGAAAAGCGAGTGCTGGCTTGCGATCTGTTTCTCTCCTCAGATCCCTTGTTTCAGCCAGTTCGGCGAGCCGACCTAATCAGAAATGGTTATATCAGTTGTATTCACCGAACGCCGAATTTGAAATTACATAGAAAGGAACATTTTCCTTGCTAATTCTTTATTTTAATATTTATATTTTGTTTCGATGATCATAGTGGATGATGGTGAAAATTTCGGTTTGAACGCTGTAAATCGCTGTAAATTTTTTTCTGATACACTCTATCAATAACAACAAAGTAAGTAATAATCACTGTTGTTTCCCTGTTGTCGTTATTTCGAGATTTTTGATACTTCGTGGGGTTTCGTTAATTTTATAAATTATTCTAACTCATAGTGGAACTAATGAATGAAATTTGATCCGCTCACGAAAGCTGGTTCTTCAGCTCGAATAGCACAAATGGCAGGCAGCTAACTGGCTAAGCCAACTGCGCTGCCAACAATGAGTTTGCCATAAACTGGAAATATGACTGACTGTTTGATTACTTCTTGTACGTCCAATTCTGTTCATTCGTAAGAATTAAGGAATTTATTTTTAAAAAATCATTATTATTATCGTATTTTTTCAATTTAGTAATTGAAATAAATTATTTTAAAAATTTAGGCAATTTTAATGATATAAATTTTAAAAATAGAAATTATAAAAAGATTTATTAAATTGTTGACATTCTTCGTCTTTTTTTCGCTTTTCGCATAAAAATCACTTCTAAAGCATTTTAATTGTTTTTATTGAAACATATATTTATTTATATATATCATTCATGTTAATTATATTTTTCAGTTTTAGACGTCGTTATTAGACATATTTTAATTAATTTAAATTTGTTTTATATAATTTTGTATAAAAAATATATATCGGCAGAGATTCTCGTTGTTCTAAAAAGCGAATAGTGGTTTAGATCATTGCGTGGAAAGGCAAAACGCTTTTCCCAAGCCGAGTAAACCGAAGAAGTTGGAATGGTGCGGGTGATACCTCTGTGCGCAACTGACACAGTTAGCCTAATCAGAAATGAATCTCTCTTTACTTACTGTTAGAATCCCATTGGCAGAGAGTCGACTGGAATAGAAATAGAAAGGGACCGTCGTCAGAAAAAGTTTAGTTGAGGATAATCGTCGTCGTTGGAAAAGGAATGATTGTCGAGTTTTCGAATATTTCAGCATATATTATTTATATTTATAATAAAAGGTTCGTAGTTATGTTTATTCGCATAGATTTTTGGGTTAACTGACGACGATTATAAGAAAGAAAATTAGAAGGAATGCATAGGATGAAGGGAAGAGAGATGTGAGTAACTAAGATCAATTTGAAGATTGAAAAATAAAATTGGCAGCGGCAGCAGCAGCGTTAATGGCGGCGATAATGAAGAGAGTAGTAATCGCTATATGCTTGCTTGCTTAGTTGGCTGCTTGCTTGCCTGCTGCTTAGTTGGTCGGTCGGTGGCTCGGTGGGTCGGTGGGTCGGTCGGTGGGTCGGTGGGTCGGTCGGTCGCTCGGTCGGCTATTGTTGTTGATTCTTCTTAATGTTTGTGGATTTAGCGGTTTTTTCGCTTTTCCATCCTCTTTACTATTATTTTAAGTAATTTTTACTTTTTAATTAAAATCGCCCATCCTTCTATTTGACTCGTTTCACTCTCTGCTCGGATGGAATTCTTTCTGTCCGCAGAGTCACTTGGAAAAAGAAATATAATCGAAGGAGTCGAATTTACGGTATTTAGAGAGTATTAGCAGAAGCTGTCCACTGTCTTATGTATTGTACTCGTTTGGCTCGTTCTACCTTCTTTTGGCGAACGTGCGCATCCTTGTAGGTGGAATCCCTAGCACCGTTGCAATTTGATAAGTTTACTGTTGAGCGGCAGGGAAATCGAACCAGTGAAGCAAAAATGATAGTAGTATTTGACCATTTCTCTTCCTTATCCCAACTGATCATATTTGCTCTCTTTTAGACTGAAACAATAGGTCATCTTGATTAATGATTTTAATGCAATTTGATAATGTGCTTGATTGTCAAATGCAACATTTGCATGATCCATGGCCAAAAATAACCTTCTATTTTATATTTCATTTACCGATATCTTATCATCTAATATCAGTTTAGTTCATCGACAGTTTGTCTTTATCGGTTTATTGATAATTAACTTTTTTTGCATAATTCGGTTTTGATTTGCAAATGAATCACGCACATACACAACACATATATACATACATAAATACACAAACGACGGACAACAACAGCAGCAGCAGCAGCATCAATAGTTGTGTGCATTTGCAAATGTCATTGAATC